ATATTTGCAAAATAGCTCATCACTCACCCTCCCGCATAGTCTCTAATTCGTTAAAAGTAATTTAAAGGTGCAGTAAGCAATTTCTGAGAAACACTGTTGATATTTGAAATCAACCCAAACAAACACACCCCTCCCTTCATTGCTCCGCCCCCAAAATGCAAGGACACGCAATGCAAGAGTGGATGTCTCTTTATCATAGCAGAAGCGAAGCAAAATAATGCTTCATGAAAAATAAAGTGAGACGCCACATGAATGACAAGGAAGAACAAAAAATGAACATACAGTACACAAGAGTAAATACAAACAAGTATCATCTCTCTTTCTACAGTCTCACTTCAAATCTCCCTCTTGCTCACTCTCTCTCCTCCCCCATCATGAGTGGACACGCCCCCTGCTGCTGATTGGCTACAAGTGTGTTGTGCTGCTCGGTCAGATCCACTTTCAACAGTTTCTCAGAAATTGCTTACTGCACCTTTAATGCAAAGAGCCTTGTCTAGCACTAAACGCATCGCCCAGAGTACAGTACTACACACTTGTCTTTACACGATAAAATTAAAACTTAACACGTGACTCCAAATTGATTTTAAAATAACTATATCAGTAGAAAACCCCCTCAGTAGAAGTCTTGGACCCTTGGACCCCACGCTAGCGTGACATGAAAACATGAGACTGACGCAAGGGACCCAAGACTTGATCTTTAATAAAGGTTCATTTTCATAAATAGCTTTTTTTCTCTTTTAATCACACTGGATGTTTTTAAGGACGACATTCAAAATTCAAACACCTTGAAAACGTAACGATTAAAATCAAGTAATTTTCTGTAACTCTGTACGAACCCTGAACTAAACACTCGTATGAAATAATAATGTAGTATTTTATTCATGTTAAACACAAAATGGTAAAAAAAATGACATTTTCTCTTTAAAAAACAAACAGTGACATCACAAATATCAAGCATTAACAGTATATTAGATAAGTACTGAAAATTCAGTGTGAGGTATGTGTCTCTGGATTGATGGAGGATAAGTCCATCAAATGCTTCATAACACTAATAATAATAAAACATACACACTGTACAGAGTCAATTAAAAAAACACCTATGTAGAAATGTTCAGTGTCATCATGTTAGCAGAGTGGCATTTCAGAACAAATTCATTTTTGGTCAGAGGCAGAGCAACTGGCTCATCTCCTCATTAGCACCATGATCAGTATCATATTGTTTCACTGGCCCAGGATCAGTGCATTAAGGCAGTTAAAGTCACAAGTTAACATGGACATCTATTACAGAGCCTGTTTACGTCCCTGTGGTAAGTGCTTTAAAGAATAGAGACTAGTGTTTATATGACTATACTTGTGTTGGTTAAGTGCTAGTAACAAGTGCAGGGATGTGAACAGTGTTGGGCACTAAAGAGGTCTGACAGTCCAGCTCATTGGTCACCTGTACTTGAGTACTGTTGGTCTCGGGCTGGTTGGTCTTCGGGTCCTCATCTTCATCGTTTTGCTGCTCTTCAAACAGGTGCTCTTCCTCTTCAGACAGCTGTGTATCTTCAGCTCTCTCCTCCTTCTGTTAAAACAACAACAAAAACATTACAATATGCCAATTCTGATACTAGCCTTTTACATTGAGTGAATATAGATGACTGCAGTACCTCCCTCTTTGACCTGCTGTATTCATCTATGGCGTACTGGTATTTAGCTGAGGTGATGCCAAAAAGAGATGCCATTCGCTCACCCAGGTAGTCACAAGCTGTGAGATGGTTATAGAATACCAATATTTACAAATGTGTAAAACAGTGTCAGTGTCAAATGTACAAAACAGTGTCTCAATTTTCTGCCTTTACAAGATGCTACATTTTTTAAAAGCTTAGTGGATCTCTGAAGAGATGAAAAGCTTTACTAAATGTAAACTAGATAGCTGCATACAAAAATAATCATATATTTAGAGCTCAAACATGTTTCGGTGTTTTGCATATTTGAATAAAACATCAAAACCGCCATGTCATAATCATTTAACATCATCCACAATGGCCCGAGGAAGATTTGCTTGCTATTCCCACAGACACAAACATTAGGCCAGAAAACGCTTTTTAATCCCCAGGTATGATTACTTATGCACATTTCAGTCATTATACCTGATTGCCTGTACATAGAATATGAATAGGATTTTTGTAAGTTTTATTTCCAAGCTAAGATTGTTGTTAATTTTGTAGAAGCTGGTGTGATGTTAAAAAGGCCCTCATAATATAGTATTATGCCCTTTTACAAAGTCTTGATTTTGTTTTTGGGCTCTACTAGAATAGGCTTTCATGCTTGAATGTTTAAAAACATTATTTTGCCACATATTTTACATCGTTGAGGCTCCTCTCTTCCCAGTCTGTCAGTAACGCTCTATTTAGTTCCTGTCTCAATGAAGCCCCTCCTTCCGAAAAGCGTAATGCGCTCTGATTGGTTGGCAGGAGAGCGTGTTTTGATTGGTCAACCAATGAGCGTGTTTCAGTCACAGACTTACCAGATATAGTGGATGTAGCTGCTCTCCACATTTGAAACCAGACATACGGACCCCAAGTCAGCTTGGACTTTAAAAAAACAGATAAAATATAGTTATATTTATGTACTGTCATACTGTTATTTTGCACCTCTGGATAGTGCACATAGAAATGTACCTCATGTTGTCTCAAACCAACTTTTGACTGTGGAACACAAAAGATTTTCTGAAGAATGTTGTCTTTTGCATTTCACAGAAGTCATACGAGTTTGGAAGGACATGAGGGTGAGTAAATGATGAACTATCCCTTTAAGGGCCATTCAGAGGATTTGTTCAAACACACACACACATACTGTGTCCATGGAAGACAGAAGTTCTTTCTTTGCGTTCTGTCTTTTGTCCTCCTCCTCCTCATCTGTGCTGTATTCTTCCATGGTTTCCCCACTGGAGAAATGAATAATGCGGCGCGGGGTCTTCTCTTTTCTGTCTAGATCACCAAGCTCCACACACTCGTATTCTTTCTCTTTTCCAGAGCTCTGTCCCCAGTCACACACACACATCACAGATCATCAATATTAGGAATAAGCTGATTATGTACAATATGATGGGGTTTTAAACTGAAATGAGGGAAGAACATTACCCTAGTGCCATTACAAAAATAGAATTAACAATAGTAGTTTACAAAACACCACAGTATTGTTGTGTTTGTTGACTTTATCCTAATATAAATGTACATGGGTCTGCTTAATAAAAGAGAGAGAAACAAATATGGTTCTGCTTCAAAACTTTCAGACATTCTCATTTCTTTATTAGACGACAGTTAATAGCTATAATACCATATCACTTTTTTTTTCTAAATTTAAATTTGTATTAATGTAGTAACTTTTGGTGACAGGTTTTAGTTTCTATGTAAATAAGCATAAGCACTAATCAGTTTAATATGCTTGTTTGTATAGCTTTATAGTGATAGAAATGACCGGGAATAAAACTGATACATGCAGTCATGTAACGTTAGGCATGATTTAAATTGGTCAATAATTTACCTTGTCATTGTCCATATCATGTGTCACAGTTATACTGACGCTGGAGAGATAAAGGGATATTTCTGCCATCGCTATTGTGTTGAAACTCCGCTTTCCAGTGCAGTAACATCAACCTGTCCTGTCCTGAGCGGGCGGGTCCATCACTGCATCACTCCTGACGTCACAGCAGTCCCAGGCCAGCTGGTCCCCGTGCGGAGACAATCATACATTATCACATCTGCGCCACCTACAGTTTTGGAGCGTAATTTATTTTAGCCTACATGTTTGTTTGTTTTATTAATAATAAACAACCATTATCATTGTTAAACACACCCACAATAAATCTAAGCAGCATACACTGAGAGAGAGAGAGAGAGAGAGAGAGAGAGAGAGAGAGAGAGAGAGAGAGAGAGAGAGAGAGAGAGAGAGAGAGAGAGAGAGAAAGAGAGAGAGAGAAAGAGAGAGAGAGAGAGAGAGAGAGAGAAGGTAACACTTTATTTTACAGTGTCATTGTCAAGTTACTATAGTAAAAACTATAACTTATGCATAATAACATGCAACTAACCCTATAGTAATTACATGTAGTTGCTTAGGCTAATATTACTCAGAACTTAAATGTATAATTACAGTGTAACAAACACTTTAAAATAAAGAAATAAATAAAAAATAAATAATAAATGTTAAAATATATAAAAAAAATGATAGTAAATTAGATGAAATTTATGGGAGTTAACTCTAAATTACTTGAAATGTATGTTTGATAAGGCATTTCAGCTTCTTTGAGGGTTAAAATCAAGTTTTCTAATCATTTTTAAATGCCACAAAACTTAAAGCAACTAATCTACATTTGTGTAAATCAAATCAAAATGTTATTACCCCAAAAACGTAAGTATAACCAAAATATTACACACAAAAAAAACAACCTCTATTCTTTATTAAATTTGATATGTGCCGAGTTTACATCTACAATATTTAACTGAGATAATATAACTCCTTTCTTGTTCGTGATGATGCAAACAGTACTTAAAGACACAAAGTGTAACCATTTGTAGTCATGAATGTTTAATCATATATAACACAAAATAAACATTCAATAACAAATCCTAATCAGATATGGCATCCACACTGATATTGCTTTAAGTAAAACTAAAAGAAATTAAACATCACAACTGAAATCCTCAAATAACATATTTCAACTATATTAACAGTCCTGCAGAAATATAAAAATAGTTTAGAATTCAAAATAATAATTGATTAGCCAAAAAAAATTGCAGACAGCAATAATAATGAAAAAAACATAAATAACATCCAGTATCCAGAAATCGCAACGCAGTCTTTAAATGCAATTGTTAGCCTAGTGGTAAATTCAAATTTTTATGGGAAAAAAAGTAATAATCATAACAAAAGGTTTCCCAGTCATTTAGTTTTAACCACAACTAACTCACTCATTAACATTTAATTCAAACTCATCTGCTTACTAAGAAGGTCAAGAATTTCAATTGTTTCCAACTCCAATGGGTTGTCTGTGCTGAAGGCCCAGTCAAGCTTCAAGACAGAAAAGAACAATACAAACACATGAATATGGTTATTTTTTAGATTCATATGTAGCACATGTGCTATTAAGACATTTACAAAATGAACTCAAATCAAAACCAGTCTGTGTACCACTGCTGACAATCCAAAGAACACTCTACTGACAGGTGTTTAATGTCACACAACATTAGGATAATCATTCAAATATCCCATATAACCTGTAAAAGGCCTTTGCGATAAAACTTGACAATAAAAACACGTACCGCTGCTCAGGTCCATCAAAGATTGCAGGATTGAGTCCTCATTCACATTATCCGTGCTTCTGGATCCTCCTGGATTTTCTATTACAACACAAACAAATCTAAAGTTACAAGTATGTATTTATTTATCAATGTCTTTCCACTACATTTCTGATGTTGTTTAATATCATTTACATCAACACAAATTTACCCAGCACAGCTTGTCCATACGCATCAGTCAGCACGTTGGATCCAGAACTCTTTCTTAACCGGGTGCTCGCTTTGTTGGCCTTGTTTTCATTATAGTGGTGAACGATGTTCCTCATTAGAAACAGATGCGCTGATGACAAAGACATGAAGTAGTTATTTTTCTTCATTTTAGCAAATAGTCGCCCTGCGACTTCACTATTCACTTTGCCGGCCAGCTGAGGCACGAGCGCGAGTTTCCTCAGAACATCTGTGCCATCCTCTGAGTTGCTTTCATGAAGCACGTAATGATCAGATGAACCGGTCGCCGGGTGTCCGTGAGGATCTGTCATTTCCATTTTTTCAACCAGCCAAGGCAGGGACACTGTCAGCTTTCCACGTTTGGCAAGTTCTATGTGTGCTTGAGTTGGCTCCACCAAGAGTCCTTCAAAAGGAGAGATGGGAAGCTCTTCCGGGGCCCTTAGATTGGTGTGCGTAGCAAGACTCTGCGCAGAGTCATAAATCATGACATTCGGCATATGTTGCCATGATAACAGCAAATCGGCAAAGTCTCGAGGGCTCGCAGCTCGGAGATTGCATTTTAGACTGTAGACAATTCCACAGGGGCACATGATGACTCCCCAGCCTCCTAAAAAATAGACCGAAAAAAAGAAGAAGAGAGAAATATGACTTTAGAAAGTAGCATTTAATAATAAAATGAGGGTTAGTGACAAATTGAAAAAAGAAAAGGAAAAATCTTTTAAATTTTTAAATCTATACCCTTTATTATTATTATTATTATTATTTTAAAGAAACTTGCATTACATTGTTCAAAAGTGACAGTAGACTTTTATAATGTTAAAAAAGACGTTTCTTTCAATTCATCAAAGAATTCTGGAATGCATCACGATTTCCACAAAAATATTAAGCAGCAACTGCTTTCGACATTGATGATGATAATAAATATTTATTGAACATCAAATCATATTAGATTGATATCTAAAGGATTATGTGACATTGAAGACAGGAGAAATGATGCTGAAAATTCAGCTTTGATCACAGGAAAAATAAATAACATTTTAAAACGTATTAAAATAGAAAACAGTTCTTAGAAATTGCGATATAATTTCACAATATTATCCTGTTTTTATTGCATTTATGATCTTTAAACAGTAGTGTATACTTTTCAAGCTAAAAGGTATTTTTTACAAATGTAATTAATTATTAATTCATAAATATTTTATGGGGAAGTATTTTTATAACCAACTTAAAAAATATTAAAATTATTTTAGTTAACATTATGGAACTTGTTGACTTTGACACAAAACTAGGGTCTGCAGGGATCCTCTCTATATCATTTCCTGTTGAATTTTAAAAAAAAATATTAGAAGCAGTTTTTTGTCATTTTCATATATTGGCAATAATTCCACAATAACATACATTTACAGGAATGCAGTGAAAACAGTAGAGTAAACACTAATCTCACCAGAGCAACTCCAGATTTTCGAATAGATCTTTTCACATGCTTGCCTGGATTTCATTTCACCGGCCAATCTAAGAAGGAGATCACTGCGAGATCCAGTGGAGTCCACACCACATTCGTTGCATAAACCTCTAACCACATCATCCTATCAAAAAGAATATTTAAAAAAATGTTCATTTGAATTTATTAATTAAAAAAGCATTAAAAGAGTTGTTCCACTCATAAAGCAAACCTTCTGTTTGAAAAGTTCTTCACTGAGACTATCCTCCGTAACAGTCATTTCTAACACCTCTGACGCAGACTTTGAAGCACGAACTTTCTCAAACTCTGTGTTTAGCACAGTGTCTGACTGCCGTGTGTTCTTGCCTATCCAAGGAGCCCAAAAGTGATAATTTGTTGGAACTGCAAATGGATTGTGTCCACCATCTAAAACAACAGGGGAAAAAAAATTATCATAAGATGCATTCTTTTCAATAGTTCACAATATAGTGTAATAAGCACTGTATGAGTATGTACTTTCAACAAGTCCTCGACAGATCATCTCTTTGGATAGTGCCTCCCAGAACTTTTCCAGACTGACCTCCCCTTTAAAATTCTCTGGCGGTTCTTTAATGTCATTTTCTGAAAGCATAACAGGAGTATTTCACTATGACAAAAACACATGTCCAAAAATAGTATCAAAGATGAAGTATCAAAGATGAAGAACATTATCATTTTACTACCTGATAAGTGAGAAGTGCTCGGTTTGTGTACACCCAAGATCACCACCGGGGGATGATCGCCACAGGAGGGGCATGAATACTTGTATTCATGATCTGTGAGGGCTTCAAACTGTAAATATGCATGCAGCATTGCGTCTGGAGGTGGAAACTCCACACCTGTCATGAGCTGTAAATATTCAACTGCTCTGCTCACTGAAGTATGAACCTAAGAAAAAATACAAAAAAAGAAGAAAGTTTTTAAACACTTTCAACATTTGAATGTTAAAAAAAATAGCATACTTAAACACATTCATATAAGTGGCATAGATAAGACCCTTAAAAAATTCTTAGAAATGTACTCTTTGTATCCCTCGTGAAAAAGAAGTGCACTTTAGCATACTTTTGTATAGTACTTACAACGAAAATAATACTTTAAAAGAATATACTTAAGTGTGAACTGAATGTAATGTTTTCAGACACTTAACAGCATTACAATTAATGTATTATAGTTTAAAGTTACATTAAATGCAATTTGTTTTTATTACTGTATATATCTGTTGTCTTTGAAATATAGTTAAATTCATTTGTAATAACGCAGTTGTAACGAAGTAGCAAATTAGTACATTTAAAATATATTCTATATATGTGTAATATCAAATGACACACTACAGTTAAATTATAATCAGGTACTTCAGTATGATAGTCAACACAACAAAATAAGTGTACTTCTTTAAAGCATGACAAAAGATTAATCATAATGATTTAAAGTATTCTTTAAATTATTCATCACAAAAAGGAACTTTTTAAAAAGTGTACAGCCATAAAAGTGCGCTCTCTTGATTGGTTGCCCTGCACGTTTAATAAACAAACTACAGCTGGTCCAAAATGCAGCCGCTAGAGTTCTTGCCAGAACCAGGAAGTATGACCATATTAGCCCGGTTCTGTCAACACTGCATTGGCTCCCTATTAAACATCGTATACATTTTTTAATATGGCTGATTACTTACAAAGCACTAAATGGTTTAGCTCCGCAGTACTAGAGTGAGCTCTTAACGCATTATAGTCCATCACGTCTATTGCAATCTCAAAATTCTGGCCAGTTGGTAATACCTAAAATATCAAAATCAACTGCAGGCGGTAGATCCTTTTCCTATTTAGCAACAAAACTTTGGAATAGTCTTCCTAACATTGTTCGGGAAGCAGACAGTCAGTTCAAATCTAGACTAAAAACTAGTGCTGTCAAACGATTAAAATATCTAATCACGATTAATCACATTAATGTCATAGTTAACTCGCGATTAATCGCACATTTTTATCTATTCTAAATGTCCCTTGATTTCTTTTTGTCCCATTATTTTTTCTCATTTTAATGCTCTTATCAACATGGAAACGTGGATCGGCTTGCTTTGTGCAAATGTTTTTTATTGAAAACAACACTGGCATATACTGTGTTCAATTTCACACTAACATTCTCACTTGGAGCAAAAAAACTCTCTCACACATTGTAACACTTTCCATCAATAAAAGGGTGAAAGAAATACTGACGAGGTCCGTATATTGACGAGGGGGCGGAGAATTCGCATCAGCTGTGTGTGTGTGTGCTTGGCCATCAAGTGGTTTTTCAGACTGGACGCGCTGCGATAATGATAGCTCAGTTCACAACGACAAAACACACAGATCACTTTGGTCTCGTCAATGGAACCATTTGGCAACTTTTTAAAAGTGAACTTTCCATTCAGAATCTTATTGGCATCCATTTCGGCGTCTCGCGCTCGCCATCCACTCAAAACGTAACGTTAACCAACTATTTGGCCGGTTTGCAAGCCCAAACAAGTGTGTGCGGCGTGCCTGTTGTTTTGTTTCCGGTCTAGCTAGATCCGCTTGCGCTTTGGTCGACGAAGCAACAAAACGTCCTGGCGCGGCGCAAGCATAGACAGGGCACAAGCCATTGAAATGAATGGGTTTCATAGCGCAGCGCCGCGCATGCCGCGTCCTGTTGCAAAAGCATGTGAAAAAAACTACAAAGTTTGCTAGGCCAAAAAAGACTGTTAATCACGCGATAAAAAAAGACGCCGTTAAAATGGGTTTGCGTTAACACCATTAATAACGCATTTAACTGACAGCCCTACTTAGGGCCGGCCCGTGGCATAGGCGGTATAGGCAAATGCTAAGGGCGCCACCACTCAATAGGGGCGCCAAAATGAGTGAACGAGTGCATTTTTTTTATTTATTTTTTTACTAATACTATTTTAAAACCATTAATTCGAAATACTACAAAATAAAGCATAACAACTCCACAAAAACTTAACTAAGTCCCCCGACTCCGGTCCGGCGCATCAATCTTCCCCCGCCCAGCGAGTGCTTGAAGTGCGCCAGAAACAGAGCGCGCGCGATCAGTTTATTTGTTTTGTAGCGTCGCCCCTCGCCGCATCCAATGTAGACAGCATTGCTTTCGTTTGAGGGCGCTTAACACACTCAAGCACTGCCCGGGCCTGGCAGCTCGCGCCAGGTCTAGACACGGTGAAAGTTACCTCATTGTGACGGATGGCCGAATTTTCATGAGACATTTAAATTAGCATTATAGCCTGCGATAGATACAGTGCCAAAAAGAAGAGGACACAACAAGGGGATAAAGACAGAGGTAAAGTGATGTAATGAATGAACAGTTTATCCAATTGCATAGTAGTAAGATACTATAATTTAATGGCAGTTATTTTTACCTTATAACTTTATGCTAACAGTAGTTCTGAGTTCTTCAGAGCCCCCAGACAATGCGATTTGTAACAATCATGTCAGTCTTTTTTAGACGCATTTACTATCACTTTGATTATTTAATGTTTTACTATACAGTTGTGCAGTTTTATATATATGGCTTTTTTTTTATTTGCCAAAATTATTAACGATATTTATAGGCTACAGGTTTATTATGTTTTATGTAAAATTCACATTAAAGAAGACAATTCTGAAGAACAAAAGAACAAAGAACAATTTCGCAGTTTCATTCATGTTGAAAACACGAACCGTGCCATAATTTAGTGGAAGATTGCTGCCATCAACTCCCAAACAAACACTTTTGCTAGTGCTCAATGAATAGTTTGTGCATGAATGACATTTGGACGATGACATCACTGTTTTATCCAGAGCGGCTATATATAAATTAGATACATTAATATATTTTTTACAATAAAATAAACCATCACTGAACATACTTAAGCTTGATTATGACACTATTTTCTTCTAGATCTGCTGTACAGGAGAAGCAAACTTTGTTGCATTATTTTCCTGTTATCACTGTAAAGCTGCCTTGAAATAATCTGTATTGTAGGCTAAAAAGCGCTATATAAAAATAAAGGGGACTTGACTTGAATGCTAGATGTAATGCTCTTGCTATATATATATACACTCACCGGCCACTTTATTAGGTACACCTGTCCAACTGCTCGTTAACACTTAATTTCTAAGCAGCCAATCACATGGCGGCAACTCAGTGCATTTAGGCATGTAGACATGGTCAAGACAATCTCCTGCAGTTCAAACCGAGCATCAGTATGGGGAAGAAAGGTGATTTGAGTGACTTTGAACGTGGCATGATTGTTGGTGCCAGAAGGGCTGGTCTGAGTATTTCAGAAACTGCTAATCTACTGGGATTTTCACGCACAACCATCTCTAGGGTTTACAGAGAATGGTCCGAAAAAGAAAAAACATCCAGTGAGCGGCAGTTCTGTGGGCGGAAATGCCTTGTTGATGCCAGAGGTCAGAGGAGAATGGCCAGACTGGTTCGAGCTGATATAAGGGCAACAGTGACTGAAATAACCACTCGTTACAACCGAGGTATGCAGCAAAGCATTTGTGAAGCCACAACACGCACAACCTTGAGGCGGATGGGCTACAACAGCAGAAGACTCCACCGGGTACCACTCATCTCCACTACAAATAGGAAAAAGAGGCTACAATTTGCAAGAGCTCACCAAAATTGAACAGTTGAAGACTGGAAAAATGTTGCCTGGTCTGATGAGTCTCGATTTCTGTTGAGACATTCAGATGTTAGAGTCAGAATTTGGCGTAAACAGAATGAGAACATGGAACCATCATGCCTTGTTACCACTGTGCAGGCTGGTGGTGGTGGTGTAATGGTGTGGGGGGTGTTTTCCTGGCACACTTTAGGCCCCTTAGTGCCAATTGGGCATCGTTTAAATGCCACGGCCTACCTGAGCATTGTTTCTGACCATGTCCATCCCTTTATGGCCACCATGTACCCATCCTCTGATGGCTACTTCCACCATGTCACAAAGCTCTAATCATTTCAAATTGGTTTCTTGAACATGACAATGAGTTCACTGTACTAAAATGGCCTCCACAGTCACCAGATCTCAACCCAATAGAGCATCTTTGGGATGTGGTGGAACGGGAGATTCGCATCATGGATGTGCAGCCGACAAATCTGCGGCAACTGTGTGATGCCATCATGTCAATATGGACCAAACTCCCTGAGGAATGCTTCCAGCACCTTGTTGAATCTATGCCACGAAGAATTGAGGCAGTTCTGAAGGCAAAAGGGGGTCCAACCCGTTACTAGCATGGGGTACCTAATAAAGTGGCCGGTGAGTGTATATATATATATATATATATATATATATGACTAAATAATCACCAACACAATGATGGGGTGAAATGGGCTGTAATGCATGGGGCACCAGGTAAAATCTTGCCTAGGGCAGCAAATTGGTCAGGGCCGGCCTGGCCCTACTAAAAACACATCTCTTTGGCCTAGCATACACATAACACATTATAGACTTCTATAATTCAATGTTAGGGTGCATAGTTTAGATCAGCCGGAAACAGGAACACTTCCTATAAATCCTTTTGTACTTGGTACATCATAAGAAGGATGGCGTCTACACTAATATTAGTCTCTCTGTTTATCCCGAGGTTTTACCGCAGTCCGCCGGATCCAGGCCGTATCCAGATCTGATGAAGGACCATCGCCTGGGCACGACGACAACGCAGTCCTGAAGTGTCAACTAGTCTCTCCCCTGTGAAGGCCTCCCCCCCTTTACCTCTGTACAGATAAAACGTTGTCGGGATAATTCCGGTTCACGTGGCTACACAGACGCGAAAAAAAATTCTGTATTAATTTTTTTTAAGACCAGACAAGTAGTTTGTTGAGGGTTGATTTGTGAAGAAGGACTACACGCCTGCACACATATATATTCAAACGCGCATACCTATGGACTGACTACATGTGATCCGTCTGCGTTTTCGCGGGTTTGCGTTTTTGAGGTTTGCGCAGAGATAACGGATAATCGTTTGCACCTTCAGAACCTATTTCAGGGAGTGCGTTCTCGAGACACCAGGCACTGTTTTGTGCGGATGGACGGCCGGATCGCTAAAAGTTTTTCTGTTAGAACGGTGTCGTGTTAGCGGCCCCTAAGTTAATAACTAATGATCTTCGCAATGGAAGTGAATCAATCAAACCTAACTTTAGGTGGACAATAACTTTATCCTAATGCTGTTGTAAAGCCTAAACAATCTGTTACGGTAATTTCTATTATAACTGTAAAGCTGCTTTGAAACAATCCATACTGTTAAAAGCACTTTATAAATGAAGGTGACTTGACTTGACTTCAAGTACACTTAAAGGGATAGTTCATAGTAGATGCTAAATTAAATCTATTGATCATATAAAGGGATCATTTGGGCTAAACCGCTCAATTCATTTGGATTAGTTTTATGATCGCTTTATGAAATTTTTCAAAGCGTCAGATGCGTTGCTGTCTATTGAGGGTACAGAAATCTCTCAGATTTCATCAAAAAGATCTTCATTCATGTTCCGAAGATGAACAAAACTCATACAGGTGTGGAACAACATGAGGGTGAGTAATTAATGACAGAATTTAAATTTTTAGGTGAACTATACCTTTAAGTTGCCTTTTATTTCATTCATATATTATCCGCATGACTTTGAATTGGACGGAAAAAAGTTTAAAATATTAACCAGTTTTTTTATATACTATTTTTTTTTAAATAATAATGAAATATTATGCCAAACTACTTAATAATGTTTAATTTTTAAGAATTTCTTTCTCTCAATGAGGCTTTTTTATAATAATATAAGAACAGTTGTACCACCAAGTCATTTATGACTATATTTTTGAATAAATAGATAAGACAAAAAAGAAAAGAACATCATATCACTGACTCTGATATAGTCAGACTGAAGATTACCTGTAGAAGGTTCCTGAAGGTTAAGCACAAAGGTATGTCAAGGATGATGTGATCATTGAAGTTATGGAGGCCGTCTTTCCACTCTTGGTAACGATAAAACATCCCACACTGCGGGCACTGCTTACAGAAGGTGCCAACATCTAGCAATTAAAACAAATATTACATTACAGGACAATGTAGCTGAATAGAGCACAAGCATAAGGACAATATATCATACCTTCAATAATGCACCAATTGGTCAGTATTTTGGCGTTCTGTGTAATTAGCATAGGATCACTGAGAGGGACTTCGCCTGGACATCCCTGGCATAAAGTTTCATTCGGACAAAGGTTTCGTGGGTAATCCTTGCGTGCCGATGGTATGCGCATATCTTCTGGAAGAACAGCAGGAATCTTTTTGTTCTGAAGAATGTAATTCACCATATACTCCAGCCCCAGACCTTTCGGGGGATACACATGAATGTCGTCTGTGACGCCTTCGTCTTCTGAATGTGGCGTGTTGAGTGGTGATCCATCAGTACTCAATAGCTCATGGTGCGTTTGAAATAGGTGCCATTTGGCAACATACTTGTGCAGACATGAGCGTCGCACTTTGGTACAGGGACAGTGCCACGTGTTAAATTGGGTGTTATAAACAACCATGACACGGCCCAAACGACTATACGAGGACACGCTGGGCTCAAAAACCGAAATAAACATTTTTGTTTTTGAGACGCCAATCGAGGTGTGAACGGAAAGTGGTACGCTGCTACTATTGGCGAGCTGTTGCAGAACAAGGCATTCTTTTTTCTTTTTCTCGCTGAACAATTTTTCTCTCACTATCGCCGTTAAAACTTCTTCCTCGAGCGAGACTGGTTCAGCCGAAGACTTGCAAAAGCTCGCTGCACTGATATGCACGCACTGGTATGATGTGATACCACTCCTCTGCGCGATATCTATGTTAACCTGGCACTCGTTCGATTCGCAGAGAATTCTGTGGTTTTCTCCCATTGTCTTGTATTGTACGTGAAGGGGGACGCTGTGGCCTTTTACAATTTTAAGAACTGTAAATATCCCATTTGTCTCGTCTATACACTCGCTTGTAAGCTGGAATGTGTCACCAATGTCCAATTCTGACTGATCGGAGTGTTTCCGTTCTATATGTTTTTGTAGATTGGTTTTATTGATGAGGATACTGCACATTGGGCATCTCTTTTTAATAACAGGCCGCACACGAATCTTGCCTGTACTGGTGGGTGATGATCCATCTTTCATCCTCAAAGCAGTCACGTCTATAGTGGTGGTTGAGGGTCCATCTTTGATCCCTAAAGCGGTCACGTCTGTACTGGTGGTTGACAGTGTGTACATGATTGTAGGAACGGTCCCTGTTGTATTGATGATTGACGGTGTGTTTATTATTGATGGAGCGGTCACTGCCGTACTGGTGCTTGACACCATTTTTGTGGCTGATTCTGAATCTAGCTTATGTTTACAGATTACTAAATGGTTTTTAAAATCAGGTTTCCTTATAATTGTTGTTGAACAGTATATACAGTGGAAATGTAGGGATGGTCTGCAGCCCAGTCCACACCTGTGAAAATTGAAGCCTAAAAAAAGAAAGAAGATATATGTATATTAGTAAAATATTGAGATACAATATATTTATGCTACATGTATACACTGATTGATGAGGATACTGCACATTGGGCATCTCTTTTTAAAAACAGGCCGCACATGAATCTTGCCTGTACTGGTGGTTGAGGGTCCATCTTTGATCCCCAAAGCAGTAACATCTGTACTGGTGGTTGACAGTGTGTACATGAATGCAGGAACAGTCCCTGTTGTATTGATGATTGACGGTGTGTTTATGATTGTAGGAACGGTCCCTGTTGTATTGATGATTGACGGTGTGTTTATGATTGATGGAGCGGTCACTGCCGTACTGGTGCTTGACACCATTTTTGTGGCTGATTCTGAATCTAGCTTATGTTTACAGACAAGTAAATGGTTTTTAAAATCAGATTTTCTTATAATTGTTGTTGAACAGTATAAACAGTGGAAATGTAGGGATGGTCTGCAGCCCAGTCCACACCTGTGAAAATTGAAGCCTAAAAAATAAAAGAAGATATATGTATATTAGTAAAATATTGAGATACAATACATTTATGCTACATGTATACACTGATGAGCCAAAACATTATGACCAGTCACAGGTGAAGTGAATATGATCATCTCCTAACAAGGCCACATACTAAGGTCTCGGTAGATTAGATAGTAAGCAAACAATCAGTTCTAATAATCAATGTGTTGGATGCAGTCGACTTTGACAAGTGCCAAATTGTTATAGCAAGGTGATGGGTCAGAGTGTCTCTGAAACGGCAAGGCTTGTGGGTTAATCCCAGTCAGCATTGGTGAGAATTTACCAACAGGGGTCTGAGGAGGGACAAAGCACAAACCGGCAACAGGGTGTTGGGTGCCCAAGGCTCATCGATGAACGATGGCAACGAATGCTATCCCGTCTGGTCTAAGCCAACAGAAGGTCTACTGAGGCACAAGTCGCACACAATTTTAATGATGCTTTAGGTGGAATGTGTCACAACACACGGTAACTCATACTCTGCTGTGTATGGAGCTGTGACCAATCAGAGTGCCTATGTTGACCCCTGTCCACCATTGAAAGCGCCTACAATGGGCATGCGAGCGTTGGATCTGGACCTTGGAGCAGTGGAAGAATGTCGCCTTGTATGATGAGTCTCGTTTTTTTTTATATCACGTTTATATCATTGTTGCAGACCAGGTACAGCCCTTCATGACACTGGTGTTCCCTGGTGGAAGTGGCCTGTTTCAGCAGGATAATACCCTGACACACTGTTCAGGAATGGTTTGAGGAACATGATGAAGAGTTCAGGGTGTTGACCTGGCCTCCAAATTCCCCAGATCACAATCTAATCAAACATCTGTGGGATGTGCTGGACCCACAAGTTTGATCCATGCAACCTACAGGACTTGAATGACCTGCTACTAATGCCTTGGATACTACAGGACACCTTCCGTGGTTTTGTAGAGTCCATGCCTTGATGGGTTGGCACTGTTTTAGCACCACATGGAGGACAAACAGCATATTAGGCAGGTAGTCATAATGTTTTGGCTCATCTGTGTATACACATGCAATACATACTACTACACAATATATGTACACCATACGCCATATACTTATACCTCCATGGACAACTGCTTTTTTAGAGTGGATTTTCAGATGTAATTTGAGTTTGTCCAGTCTGCTGGGCTTAAATACACTGGCCATACAAAAGGGACAATGAAAACGGTTGCAGCATTTTGTGCATCTCTCCAACTGAGGGAATGTTTGACCTTTTTGAATTGAAATATGTCTCTGCAAAGGAAATAAAAAAAAAACACAGTTAAGAAGACTACATATTTATTTAACCAGACACTGCATAGATTGCAAAATAAATGGATTGTTCACCCAAAAATGAAAATTGTGTCTATTTACTTGGCAATAGACGTACCAAACCCATTATACTTTCATTAATTTTCTAAACACAAATGCATATTTTTAATATGATTTCTGTTCCATCATTGAAACCATTGTAACCAAAATTTTGACACTTCAAAAAAGAAAGAAAAAAAAAGAAAGAAAGAAGACATTGTAAAAGTAATCCATGTGAATTGAATATCAAGAGAAACAATATATTTATATGATGAACAGGTTTAACTGTGGCAGTTACTATTCATAAACATATCAACTCACATATATGCAAGAACATTAGTTATTGAGGAAGTTAAAACATGCTTGTGACATATGCCAAAGAACAAACCTAATTGGTTCTTGAGGACATGCATATTTGATGTGCTCTGTGTTGATCAATATATGTGAATAAATCCTAAATGAATCGGTTCATAATTTAAAGCGACTTTTACAGTGTATGAACTTTTTGAAGCATCAAAGTTTTGGAGGAATGGACTTTTGAATGGAGGGACAAAAAACTCTCAGATTTCATTAGACATCTTAATTTGTGTTTCAAAAAACGAACAAACGAATATGTTTGGAATGACATGAGGGTGAGTAAATCATGACATAATGTAATTTTTTGGGTGAACTGACCCTTTAAAAAGGTATGTTACACCGGACATAGGTAAGCCTATAGACTCAGGAAAAGAAGATAACGTTACTTTACTTTAGGAAAAGAAGATACTTTACTTTGTTTATTTGCAGAACTTTACACACACACACACACACACACACACACACACACACACACACACACACACACACACACACACACACACACACACACACACACACACACACACAGAGAGAGAGAGAGAGAGAGAGAGAGAGAGAGAGAGAGGTCCGTGCATTTGCATTGAAAGCATTTTTTACAGTCTAACGTTATGTTTGAAAGCGATAGGGAGAATGCAGACCGCAATTCGGAGTCAAGAAGCTTTGAAGAATACATTTTACTTCAGGAATTGCGACAGAGAGTTTGTAACGATACAAGTAAAATGTAACTGTAACCAAGAAGGATTTACTTCCGTAGTTTTGCACTGGTCGCGTTCACATCAACATGGCACTGCAGACACCAGCCCGCCTTTTCAAGCGGAAGCCGAGCGTGCACCAAAAGTGCTAGAGTTAAGCGACAATGTTAAAACAAATAAAAAAACATTACAAAAACACTAACTTACCGTGCACCCCTCCATAACTCTGTGCTATTAGCTCGGTTGCAAACTCTGCCCGGAGACCGCTGGCCTAGTACTGCTGTTCTAAAATTGCTGTGACATATGGCTGCAGCAGTAACTCGTCGTTTCCGGTGTCGTCGTCGTCGTCAGAGGCGCTGGCCTGGCTGCTTGGCAACCAGGATTAACAAGAGAAATACAGGTAAGGTTTTAAATGTTACATAGTATGTCTTCTTTAATGTGTCCTTAATGGTGAAAATGTTTGAAAAATGTTCGTCATTAATTTAATTGTATAACAGATGTGTCCCTTGTGAAAAAGAAGTGTGCTTAATTGTATTGAATGTGCACTTGCAGTGTAGCCTACGTCAAATCTTTAAACATATATATATTTTATACTGTAAAACTGTACTTGCAGATAATACAATATTAATGAAATAAAATGTGTACTTAAAGAGAGTACACTTTCATTACTGTTTCTTATCTTAAATACACTTTTAAAAAGTGCACTATGTTTTTCATTCAAGCAGGCCTAAGGTTACATGCAAAATCATTTTGATGTTGACTAACATAGGCTAGGCCTACTTAAGCACAAGTACATTTCTTAATTATAATTTTAACTGTAATGTGTTTATTTGATATTAAATAGCCTAAATTGCAACTTCATTATTACAAATGTGTAATTACACATTTAAACATGGCATTTAAATTTAAATAGAAATTATAAGGGAGGTGTGCATTCACCGATCAATCTTGTCATATATCATTCAGTGTGTGCATTTTTTTATTTTAATTATTCATGACATAGAGGCAAAGAACCACCCAAAAGCAGTTTTAAACAGGTTTTAACACCTCCCAGCCAATTAGAATCAAGTATTCAGACAGACTATGGTATAAATTAAAGTAGCCTATATTTTATTCAGTAGATGCGAGTCATGCGAGAGTACACTTAACCATATTTCAAAGACAATAGAAGTAATTATGAAATGTACTTAAGTCAAAAAGCAAGTTCAACTAATTGCATTTAATTTAAACAAATGTATTAAATATACAAGTTTACTAATTAATAAACTTAATTCATTTTCATGTTATCGTAAATAACATTCAATGAAGTGTCTGAAAAATTTAAATTTAGTTCACTTACGTATATATTTTCGAAATTATTATTTCTGTAATAAGTAGGCTACTCTTTTTAAAAATAAGCTAAAGTGTAAAATAAAAAAAATAAAAAAATCATGGTGGTGAGGATTGCATGTCTGAGTAGGCACTACCTTTGAATTTACTTCGCCACTGAAAAAAAAAAAAAAAGAAGTATGTTCTATCATACAGTATACGAATATGGGTACTATGAATTAAATCCGGACGTACTACTGTACATCTGCACATGTTGTTACTGTCACGTGACCTACCGGCATCAGTTGTGTTGCTTTACTGCCAAATCCCTTCCTGTGGCCTCATTGGATAGGAAAGTGCCCATCGAATACACACCCTATAATCTCTACAGAAAGTAGTACGCAGGTACTTTTCGCCAACTGTTTTTTGAATACTATGTATTCGGACATAGGCTACTCTTTTGGCGTACTGTTTTTGCATAGGCCTACTATATAGAAGGGAAGTATTCAATATCGGACGTAGAGTTGGTAAAAGCAGCATACCAGGAGTTGGTAAGATAGCATACTAGCATACTATTTCACCCATGTAATTTATAGTAGTAATAAGAGTAGTATACTAGAATTCAGACACTCTAGCCTCACTAATAGAAAAGACAAACATTTGAATCATTTTATTTTGCCTCAAAACTTTACAGTTTTGAGATTTTTCCTGAAATTTACCCATTGTCATGTACTGCTCAGAGACACGAAGGTTGAGGATCTAAATGCATAAAAGGTAATCTGCAATCAAAGACCAAAAACAGGCAAAGGTCAAAACACAGACAAACAATCCCAACATATACTAGGGCAGGAACACAGGGGTCAAAACCAGGGAACAGATAATCAATGGCGCGTTTAGAAATGCAGTATAGACACATACATTACTTTGCAAAGAATGGCTCAGTGAACAGGGTTTATATAGGCTGTACAAGGTAATGAGTAACAGCAGTAACCAGGCATGATGAGTCCAGGCAGTGAGTTCTGGGAAATGTAGTTAGTTTATGAGGGAATGACAATAGTCTGTGATGGAGAGCCCCCTGGTGGCTCTTAAGGGCACTCCAGCTGGTGATCGTGACAACCAGAGCTGTTGGTGACAACCATTTTGACATTTTTGGTGTCCTGTTGTTCTCCTGCCCCCAGTTATTTTTATTTTATTTTTACCAGAGAAGTGAAGACCATGCGTCGCTCTGCTGCCAAATCTCGGGGCGATAAAAGCCGCACTGATTCTGCCTCAGTTATTGCTGCTCCTCCACCACCACCACACTCGGTCCAGCCCGTCGAGGCCGTGGACATTGTGCCGGGCCTCCTAACCGAGTCCACCTGGACCAGCATGCTCACCAAGGAGGAGGGGGAGGAGGTGGTGGTGGACATCATAGCGGAACTAATGGACAGACTGATGGACCGATGTTGTCAGGTGTATTTAAAAAGACAGGTGAGCTGAAACTTCATGGCATTATTGTTAATATGTATATAGGATCTGCTTTGGTAAACATTCATTTCATATTCTTGTATGCTATAGTTTTGGCTGTTTTAGGATAGGTTATGCATGTTAAACATAAGTTATAGAGTGTACAATATGTGATCATTCAGTCAAGTATTTCTGTTTTAGTATCAATGAGATATTATTACAGTTTTTATTAATATTTTAAATTGGTTTTTATATATATTTTTTTAATTGCATGTTTGTATCGTTTTATTATTATTTTTGTTTTAAATATGTCTATAGGCTAGTTTTCATTTATTTTTATTTTAGTACATCAAGTTAAACCAAATAAAAGACTAATTTTGTCTTGGCAAGCTTTTTTTTTTTAATGATATTATTTATTATTATATATATTTTTAATTACTATTTTTTAAAACTATAATAACCCTGCAATAGACCAGGGGAGCACCATATATATTTTTTTCCCAGGAATGAAAACAAGGCTAAATTAAGGAACTGTTGTTAGAGCTTTGTCTCATATATTCCTACTCTATACTTTTATTTACTGTATTTGGATTTTGTTTTGCATTGACTTGTGTTACAAAAACTGTTACTGTTTTTAAAATGTTTTATAAAAAAAATAATGAAACCGACGCTGTGAGGAATAAAACTACAGTGTGTTCAATGGATTATAGTGTTATTTAACAACCTACTAATTGTTCAGCTGGTGAAAAACATATCTTTCAATAAACATAATTCCATAAAACAGCTTTGAAAGCTGAGTTTTGAAACTTACATATGATCTAGGACCTTTAAACAGTGCATGCCATTTTAAAGATTGAAAGTCTGTCCCTCACATCCTCATTTTCATCTGCGTAAAGTTCAATACAGTACCTACCCTGATTAAAGTCTGTATGCTTACTGTATATGAATAGCTTACTTACAATGGAAAAGTTGTGTGATGGATTCATTTATCTTTTACACAAACTTCCTACCCTCCAGTTGATACCCTTCTCGGTTTGGTGGGCGCAAAATAACCTGGTCGAGACGATAGAATGCCTTCTCCTGATGAGAGATGAGGGGGACGATCCAGAACATGAACCCTTTTGGCAAGAGGACTCAGAACCTCAGCCTTGTGCTATTGATGCTTGGGCTGAGGGATGTGTGCCGGTGTTGCATTCTGCTCAGCTATAGCACAGTGCTTTACTGCAGGTAAGAAAAGTGGGGGCTTTTGGGAGTTGGGGTAGTGAAAATAATCTGTTAGGTATACAGTATATGGCACCCAAAACAGCCTGAATTGAAAAGACGAGATGTTTGTTGCATCTGACACAAGATCCTACTCACACATTGCCCTTTGTAAACCTAGACATTAAATATTTATTTAGGCTATGTATAATAATATGCAATAATTCATTTCATATCTTATATATACATACACACACACTACCATGCAACAGTTTGGAATCCTTACGATTTTTTTAATGTTTTGACACAAGTCTCTTATGCTCTCCAACGCTGCAATTATTTGATTTGAAATATTTTTACAATTTAAAATAACTTTTTTATATTTATATTTTAATATGTCCATGTGACATTGAAGACTGAAGTATTGATGCTGACATTTCTTTTACTGTATTTTTGATACTGATGTAAATATATATAATCTTTGTGACCATACATAAAAATCTTCATGATTCCAAACTTTTGACTGTATGGGAGGGAGAGCGTAATTAAAAAAACTAACTTAAAAAGGTTCTAGTATTAGATATTGACTGTACATAATGTCTCAACAGAACTACACCACTTTTAACCTGCTATGGCTTAAGACCAACAGAGTGATGATACCAAATTATTCACAAAATCCAAAGAAAGTCTGACTTCATTAAACCACACACATATACGCAAAGAAACTCAAAAGAAGCAAATCTCTCCTCCTCTAAGGGCACAATTGCCCCCATTGCTTGCAATATTTCGTCCCGATTTACTTAAGAGCTGAAAAAAAAAAAATTTCCATTTGAGTCTCAGCATCAAAACACTGACTCATCGACCACAGTTTGGGCCTGAGGTGAGGAAACAGGGATGAGATCCAAAAATTCATGAACTGTTGTAGCCCTTGGACCACAGTGGTAACAGACAGTTTGAACTAAGGCTGACATATAAAAACAAACAAATAGCAGAATACATTTTTTATTAGTATTTATAAAAAAAATGAATTTTTGACATTGACTGCCATGTGACCCCTATATTAGCCTCATCATATTTATGCAGTTGTATTTCAGGGATCAATGTCACTGCATTTCCACAAACATGCATCAGTTAAAATTGACACATATTGTCATAGTGATTATTTCACAGTGTTTAATATGTTTTAAATCGCATAATTTTGAGACTGTGATGTGACTTGTTTTAACACAAGGTATGCTAGTTCACCAAAAAATTCTGTCACTAAACCTGAAGTTGTTCCAAACCTATATGAGTTTCTTTGTTCTGTTGAACAAAAAAGAAGATATTTTGAAGAATGTGGGTGAACAATTTATTTTTTGGGGTGAACTATCCCTTGAATATAGTATCATATGATTAACACAGTGTGTATATATATATATATATATATATATATATATATATATATATACAAAAATAAATAAAATAAACACAAAGATTTGTTACCAAACGACCAGATTCCCAGCATTAGGATCCTTTGGAAGTTAATGTTATTTTATTTTGCTCTTCTCTCTTCTTCATCCCACTAACGCCAGTGGGCTAAGTTGATCTTTTTCCGCAGATCTTTTTCACTACCTTATAACATCATAAAGAGGCACAGTCCAGGATGAGTCGTTCGCTGGGCCTGGTGACAATAAAAGCTGATTTTGGACTAACAAGGACGTTTTCAATTCTGAAACTTTCAGGATATTCTTATAATATGATGAGATGACATGATATGTCAAAACCTCAAGGAAAATTTGATTTCTCAGTTCATGGCCCCCTTTAAAGTGGACAAGTAATGCAATTGACAGGAACAGCAGTTGTCCTGGGAACCTCACTACAACTTAAGGAAAATAAGGTTTCATGTGTTTTTATACAGACCTTCACTCCCCCACTCCTCCTGTTTGAGTCTGAGTTTCTTGACTATAGGGACTTATGAATTTTCAGTAAACAAAATCATATGATTTTGATATGAAACCCTGTTTAAGAAGTGTGGTAAAATGTACACTCACCTAAAGGATTATTAGGAACACCATACTAATGCTGTGTTTGACCCCCTTTCGCCTTCAGAACTGCCTTAATTCTACGTGGCATTGATTCAACAAGGTGCTGAAAGCATTCTTTAGAAATGTTGGCCCATATTGATAGGATAGCATCTTGCAGTTGATGGAGATTTGTGGGATGCACATCCAGGGCACGAAGCTCCCGTTCCACCACATCCCAAAGATGCTCTATTGGGTTGAGATCTGGTGACTGTGGGGGCCATTTTAGTACAGTGAACTCATTGTCATGTTCAAGAAACCAATTTGAAATTATTCCAGCTTTGTGACATGGTGCATTATCCTGCTGGAAGTAGCCATCAGAGGATGGGTACATGGTGGCCATAAAGGGATGGACATGGTCAGAAACAATGCTCAGGTAGGCCATGGCATTTAAACGATGCCCAATTGGCACTAAGGGGCCTAAAGTGTGCCAAGAAAACATCCCCCACACCATTACACCACCACCACCAGCCTGCACAGTGGTAACAAGGCATGATGGATCCATGTTTTCATTCCGTTTACGCCAAATTCTGACTGTACTATCTGAATGTCTCAACAGAAATCGAGACTCATCAGACCAGGCAACATTTTCCCAGTCTTCAACTGTCCAATTTTGGTGAGCTCTTGCAAATTGTATAGCCTCTTTTTCCTATTTGTAGTGGAGATGAGTGGTACCCGGTGGGGACTTCTGCTGTTGTAGCCCATCCGCCTCAAGGTTGTGCGTGTTGTGGCTTCACAAATGCTTTGCTGCATACCTCGGTTGTAACGAGTGGTTATTTCAGTCAAAGTTGCTCTTCTATCAGCTTGAATCAGTCGGCCCATTCTCCTCTGACCTCTAGCATCAACAAGGCATTTTCGCCCACAGGACTGCCGCATACTGGATGTTTTTCCCTTTTCACACCATTCTTTGTAAACCCTAGAAATGGTTGTGCGTGAAAATCCCAGTAACTGAGCAGATTGTGAAATACTCAGACCGGCCCGTCTGGCACCAACAACCATGCCACGCTCAAAATTGCTTAAATCATCTTTCTTTCCCATTCTGACATTCAGTTTGGAGTTCAGGAGATTGTCTTGACCAGGACCACACCCCTAAATGCATTGAAGCAACTGCCATGTGATTGGTTGAATAGATAATTGCATTAATGAGAAGTTGAATAGGTGTTCCTAATAATCCTTTAGGTGAGTGTATGTGTGCTATATTAGAAAGAAAAGTGGTTTTAAGTTGTTTTGACACATCTGAAGTAATCTCAAAATGTGTGTACGTAGATGGAGCCTAGTGCTGTTCTAAAACCAGATGACAAGAAAATTGGTTTAATGGTTTCAAAAGCTTGATTAGCTTGCCTCAGATCTTATTCCAAATTCCCAAGCTCAGTTAAAGTTTACACCAGTGAGGTTGATATAATATCAAAAACGATTACAAAATTAATATTGAATAACTGCTTAATTTTGATCAAATTCGTTTTGGTTCAGGTAAATATGCAATCAACATTATTTCATTCAAATAGATGAATAGCTTGATTCAACCAGCTCATGTACGTAAAAGTTGTACTTAGACTTTTTTTTTTAACACATACACTGTTCAAAATTTGGATGCATAAAATTGATCAGGAGTGACATTAAAGACTGTTACAAACATTCTTGTTTCAAATAAATGCTGTTCTTTTGGACTTTCTGTTCATCAAAGAATCCTGAAAAAAAGTATCACAGTTTCCACAAAAATATGAAGCAGCACAACTTTTTTCAACATTGATGATGATGATAAGAAATGTTTCTTGAGCAGCAAGTCATCATATTAGAATGATCGAAGGATCATGCAACATTGAAGACTGGAGTAATGATGCTGAAAATCAGCTTATACCATCACAGGAATACATTACATTTTAAAATGTATTAAAATAAAAAACAGTTATTTGAAATTGCAATAATATTTCACAATATTACTGTTTTTACTGTATTTGAATAAAATGAATGCAGCCTTGGTGAACATAAGAGACTTTAAAAAGCATTTTTTTAATAGTAGAGTATTCACAGTTACAAAATTAAGGATGAAAACTATACAGTAATATTAATAATTATTTAAGAAATTAGTTTTCTCTTATTTGAGAGATATGAAAATCATTATTTTTCACTTGCAATGGGGGTGGATTTAACATTCTGACTTGTTTAATTAAATCGAGGGCTATTAAGTTTTTTTCCCCCCCAGTGTAAACATTGTTGCCACATACAGTATATTTATTATTCCAAAGGATGTTATCAAGAATAATGTTACACTTAACCCAGTCTCTCTCTTTTTTTTTTTGCTGCCTATAACAATAATATAAAAGATAATTTTTAGTTTTGGACTCATTAGCAGTAACACTTTTAGCTCACCTTACTCAGCTTTATCCAAATTTATTCATCCTTTTAACCACAAGATGTCGCTGCAAAACCATAAACAGTCCACACATGGCAACACGACGACATGCGTTTTTAAACGGACAGCTTGGAAACTTCTCAATTACAAACTGTACATTTGTCTAGCTGTGCAAACCAACCTCGCGATCATTAGCAGGATGATCATTTTATACCTGACTGAATGACACAGACTGGCTGGTTCTAGATGGAGCCAGTTTGTTATAACATTGTCCAAAACAAGCACATCAGTAGGCTATGCGGTAAGCTCATGAATATTCATGCGAGTAAAGGCCTGTGGGGACTGAGCGTTCTTGGAAATGGAAACATTGGGTTGGTAAAACATAACCCGCTTTTTCTTTACAGCGATTAAAGACATTCATGTGATCTAAATAAAGTGATGCGTAGGAAAAGACAACCATAGCCTTACTGAATGCTCCTCTTTATGCTGCTGATAGACTTACACAGATGATACAAATATTCATCTTGATTCTATAATATCACTCAGGCCTAAAATTAAATGCTAGAAAAGTTTCAGCCAAAATTAACAAACCAAAATCTGTCAGAGTCGCAGACTCGCAGATGCTGGTTCCACTGCAAGGGGAAGGATGATACGATAGATGAATTCAGGGTATCATAAAAGACATAGAACTGTGATCTCAGCATTGAGGCTCTGATCCACGGGCTGCTGTCTCCCTTGCCCTTCGGCTGCCGAAAATAAGAATGAAGTACAAATTTAAAGCGCTTTATTCCTCCTGTGAGAGTAAAATTAGAGCCCAGAGGGCTTATTACGGTGAGTTTGCAAAAAGACGTCAATGAGACCTCCTGCTGTTTTATTCTGTTCCCGGAGAATAAAAGCGAAGTTCCAAACAGTCTAAAGAACAAGCGTGGAATACTGATGACTATTTAAAGGCCTGTCTGTGTTCAGCCATACCTGCACTGTTCCAATCATTACACTCTCTCATGACCTATTTTCTAGCCGGTTTCAACTCTCGTTTCAACTCTCAGTCCTCAGCGGCACCGAAATCGGTCGTAAACGGGGTTTTTTTTTCTGCACTGCCGGGATTTTTTTTTCCTTGTTTTACCCCATCACACTCTCAGACATCCGAGTTTACTAACGGTTTTTAATCAGTTTCATTTTTTAGTCTCTCAGCGGGAGCTTCAAAGGGCATCAAAAACGTTTTTAGATCACAGCTCGGCTTTGGATGTGTAAATGCCAAACGATAACAATCTCATTTTGATTTGATATTGTGATATTGGCTACACATCACTTATCTATGCTTTTGGGTCACATTCATGCTACCGGGGAGACTTTCGGGAGGCGATTTCCAAGGGATGGTCCATCTCTGCTTGAAACATTATCGTCAACTTTTGTCGAGGAGAATGACAGGTGCAGGTGGATACGAAGAGTCATGCTGGTAGTGCGTGACGAGGCGAACGCGATGCTTATTGTGTCTCGTCACTGATACCATAAATACAGTATCGTGTCTCTCAGCTGACTCTGTCGAGATTCATGTGCGGCTGTACCACCCTGACAA